TAAAAATCTTTTTTATAAGATCAAAAGCGAAGAATGTTTGTTGAAAAAGTATTTGAGCTCCCCGAAAATCCTATATGAAGCTTATCTCATAATTGGTCTTTGAGCTAACGAATGCGGAAGTTAGTTTAAATATACATAGAATGAATTTGAGATGTACGCAAATGCACAAGTGGTACACCCTCAAAAAAATTAAGCAAATCGATTTGCTTAAAATGTTTTCAGATTTTTTTAGCTATGTCATGGCTTTTGTTACATACTACACGTTTGATAATGAGAATGAACGATTTTTGAGTTTGCGGAAAGTTTGAAGAAATTTTTTTATCGCATTTATTTCTACAACGTTTAGGAAAAGCTAGTACCATGTTTTTTTTTTGAGGTTTTTGTTGGTGTTTGTTTTATCTTTTTTGCTGGTGCATTCCAAGAGCGGATAAAAATAAAAAGTGTAAATAATTACGTAGTGAAAGGAATAAGATAAATGTTATTCTATTTACTTTACCCTCCAATCAATTCTTTCTCAGGTGTAGACAGTTGATTAATGTGATAATTTATGAGTAATTTCCGACCAAAGTCCTATACTCGTTTCGTCATTATTATAATGAGCAAGAATGAAATAATACTACCACTGACCAAGAACAAAAGTGTAAAAGAAGTTTTCTTGAAAGACATCGATGATGAAAGCAATATATGCAAGTTTTAGCCACACGAGCAAATATGCACATTAAGCAGAGGCAATTACGGAACTGGCTACTTCATTTTCAGAAAGGAATTCGGCCGTAGGAAGTACAGAAAACGGAATGAATCGTAAATAAAATGCGTTTACTCGAGCGATTCCGATGTTCATCATGAGAATTGGCGGGACAAAGTGCTCATTTGTCACTGCCAGGTATGTAGGGCCCTGCTCAGAGTGAGCAGAACAGCTGCCACGAGTCTTCGAGATTTTAGTCGTGAACTCGATCGTCAAGATGTACTCGCTGCACTTTTGAGTTCAAAGCATTAACAATTTTTTTCAACGAAACAGAAGTTATCTTATCATGAATTATGAAGACGAGGGACAGGGTGGTACTAAATTAATCCTAGATGCATAAGTGCAACTTTTATCTACTGTTCTTTGTTCCATGAAATCCGATTGTACTGGTTGTCTATCAAAAATCGGTCCAATATCATTTCTATTTGTATATTCATCTTCTGGAAACTTCGCAGTGAATAAGGCAGTTTAAAAGGGCATTTTGCATAATTTTCTAACCTTAGCAAAGAGGAAAGTCGGGCCGAGAAATAAAAGCTACCCAGTTATTATCGAAAGGTACCCAAAATCAAGCTCTAGATTTTAAAAAAAGCTATGCAAATACCTTCCCAAGAATTCCGCTACGAATGACGCAAGCAAAATTTTATGTAAAGTACAAGGAATGGTCCGCATCTTTGCAACAAAATTAGCTTTCAACTATTTCTCGTCCATTTGCGATGAATGAAAAATTATTCGGAAGAAGCACAATCTGTCTGCCGAAGCCTATTTCATCTAGTCAGTAACATTTGCTCAAACAAAAACTGCAGATAGAGAGAAAAAAAAACAGACGACAGACCTGTCTCTAGAAGTTTGAAGGATATGGTACAATGATGAATTGCTGAGTAGGTAAGTTGATTCCAATCCTTCAGAAAGAAAATTTCGATAGAGTTTTCCTGAGTTTGTTTGCGATACCATGAGAAGTGAAGCAAAACTTACTCATCCGCGAACGTAAATAGAACTAGAATGAGTAAGTGAAAGCATTTCATCTTATTCCCGCTAATCCTTATTGCAATTACTCAAGCGTATTCATCAAAAGTACTCTGCAAGGTCTATTTAGGACATTGAAAATAGCTATTAGTCCTGCAAGGAATAATGTCCCAATGTGTTTGCAAAAAGAGCGACTAGGTTACAGTAGTCCTCGCTGCAACACTCACTTGTGTAATTGCACTATTTTTCAGAATTGGAGTGGGAACTTCAAATTTGGGTACGGGCACCCTCTTCCTGCTGTGTAATTTTCGTGCTACTTTTCCATAGATTTATGCTGTTTTCACAATCATGTTGATGTCTCTACATTAGCCTGGTCTAGTGTGATTTGCAGTGGTGCAATTACACAAAATGACAGTTAGAAGCACGACTATACGCGTGTTGAAAGGCATGTTTTTGATAGTACCTATTCTCAGAATGGGATCCAGGAATCATGAGTGTAAATTTTTTCTGAGAACTCGCCAACATGTAGCGTAGCAAAAGATCTTCTAGATTTTGTGATTTCAAAAGTGATTGATAGCAACTGAAAGAGGACAATAAACTAGAATCAGCCTCAATTTTTTTACAAGAGGTAATAGGCAATAACAAGTTACAAGTTACAACTAGGTCATTGTGCGAAATTACTTCAAAGATTCCAAAGTATTTCTCCATCTTTCAGATGTCCTCTAGTGATGTCCAGATTTCAAAACTAGACGTTAACAACCTGTTCGACGGAATGAACAATTATTAGAGTATCATTTGATTCAACTGGCTTGGCTTCTGGATGACGGGGCTTCGTGACCTAATTAAGGCTAGGTAATAATCAGAAAGCACTCGCACGAGAGAGACGCAGGTGCGTCGCGGGCGCGAGCGGTCTTAATTAGGTCACAGAGCTCCGCCTTCCCGAAGCCACGTCAATTGAATCAAAGGTTAGACAGAATATTTGATAGTAGTAGTATTCATACTTATCTGCGCTTTCATTGCCTTGGTGGCAGGGCATCGTTCAAACTGAATAGAGGTTCTAAGCAATAAGACTTAAGCAGCATCTGCTATATAGAATTTCGTTTTACTGATTGTTCATGTACTTAGTGAAATATTATGCCTTTGTTGTCCTAAACATGTAGTGCGCTCGGGCTCATCTTTCATCTGCCACTAGACCTCCAAAGTTTCAAGTTTGTACTTTCGTTGTTAAACAGAGGTATCAGTGGTTATTCAACTAGTCATAGAAATTAATGCAATATATCGGATATACACCAAATCAGCTGAATATAAATCATAGAGACTAAAAATGAAAGCACACAAATGTTTATATTAAAAAAAAAACACATCCACGACATGGAAAAAAACATTGCAGATAGAGATAAGGATCCCATTTTAAAAAAAGTCCTTCATTATTTACCGAGAGAATTCTAATAGATATTCTAAGAAAAGAATCTAGAAATGACTTTCACTGCAGCACTAGCAGATCTAGTTTGGCTAGTCCTCATGAATTAAGAAGTAGTGCGCCTTCTTTTTCTATATAATCGCTCCAACCTCATGCCATGGAACATCCTGCCCCTTTTTTTGCCTTGATTTCTTCAATCGTTCTTTCACATAATTGACGGAATCCTCTGATGCAACATTTCTACTTTTAGAGTTAGTTACATTCATTAGAAAAAACCTTTCAAAAAGACAACTAAGCGAAGCAGAAATCTTATTTCTTCTGTCAGGTTTTGGTGTTCTCCGATCTCCTTCTACTTCTATACATACAGGCAGAGTGAATTTGTAATCTGGATGTTAAAGATTTTGCGTATATACACGGTTTAAAAAAGTGGAGACACTATTTAATCGTTAATACTCTCCTGCTTTCATGTCTTCCGCCGAGCTTGAGGTTCATTCTATAGGGCGGGGTTCAACTTAGATTTATATGGACTGAATCATAACTCGCTCTTCATTACTATAGGATTACGGTATGAGTTTTCAGCATAACGCGCCAATGTTGATAAGCATCTTGACGGAAAAAATTCCAAGAAATCTTGGCAAGATTTCCAGGCGTGCTAATTCCACTACACAACTTTTCATCAGTTCTTCGAGCCCTTATAATGGTGTAAATCACACTTCTGACGAACACTGGAAAGATAGTTGTTACCCTAAACCTGAAACAACTACATAATGAAAGAAGCACTGCAGTGAGGTGCAAATTTCATATTTAGAATCAGCGACTTCCATTAGTCCAGAACAAGAGTTTCTGGTTTTATGGTTCTCTTTCTGAGGCAAAAATCGTCTTTACTTTCCTAGAATCCTTCTCGAAGTTCATACCTAGTCCTACAGTAATGAGGAGTGATTGATTATTCGATTCATACTATAAGTCTGAGTTGAACCTCACTCTACAGAATGGTAAGAGAGTCATTAACGATCAACCAGTGTCCACATTTCTTTGGGACAACCTGTATTTCGCGCATATCCTGATTTACAATATATCGTGTCACCTAAGTGCCTATGCGACGCCGTTAGCTACAGATCTTACGACGATGTCGTAGAAATATCTGCGGATGTTGCTATGTTTTAAATATATGATAGATTACCGGAAATTCCATCATCATCAAAGAAAAAATGCGCAGCACTTTGCTTAACTAGTGGAGGAACTGCCCTCCCTTCCCTCCCCACTAATTTTGTTCGGACGGGACCCCTCAACGTCTTGCGCAAGTTGGTAGGTATTGTCGAATAGATACTGTCTTTGATTTAAGGCCCTAAACTCGAAGGGGTTCAAAAAGGGTATATAATCACAGCAACTCCTATGAATGTGAAACCTCAGTACTAGAAGTCAAGCAGAATACTGACTTTAGGATTTATCCCATGTGCTAAGGTCAAAACCAGGTTCTACAACCGCCCAGAAATGGCGCAAATTTTTTTTCTCGGGCTTCCTGTGGGGTCTATATGCAGCTGGTTTCCTTCGGCCGAAGACTAGACCTCTGATGGATCTGACAATATAGTAAAGCAGCGCTCAACTAAGGATCAAGTCGCAGTCTGTGCTTTTATTACCGTACTTTCATCCGGCGACAAGCAGACATCCTCTGGTGCAATGCGCCAGCAACGCATTCGACGCCTAAAGTTTGGAAGTCGCGCAGAAGTTCTGCTGCACTTGGATTTGCAAGCTTTTTCTGCTGTTTTTAGCCAGTTTTATCGAAAGTATAATTGCTCTAGTGGATTCTGCATGATCTACTTTGATGGGAATGTCCAGTGCATCGCCATCCTTGTGCATTCATTAAGAAATCTCCCAAAGTTTTAGTGTGCGTTTGTGAACTGCGTTACAAGCAAGGAGAAAATGGCTGCTGAACGTGGAGCAGGAACTGCAAAACAAGGTTCCGATCAGCACATGAAGATGGGAGAGTATTGTGAACAACTTCGCAAATGGGTGAGACACATAATGTTTGGCGTACGTTTTGAACTAATGTAGTGCTACTCCAGATGAATGAATTGCATTGCTGGCAAAGTTTTCATCAATACAACTCAATGATGATGGCATATCAAGCACAAATGCCAGCTTTACAATCTGCAGAAAGTAACTTGCAAGATGGACTTCGACAAAGACGTGGGCAGCCCGTAAGTAATGTAATGTAAGTATTACTGTTCTGTCGTTCAGCCAAATTTCCAGAGAGCTGAACAAAACGATGCTGCCGATCTTCGCCGTTTACCGGCTTTTGTTCTTCCAGTGCCTCCCAATGCTCGTGATGTTGCGATCATTGGTAATCCAAATGGTCCGGATTTGTTATCTGCTCAGTTCACGTGAGTTCTAAATTATAAGCTACTGTCTTCATGCGGCTCCTTAGAATAGTTTCTATTTGCATATAGCGCGGTGTTTTACTCTGGCTAAGTTCATATGTCTTTGAGTTTTATTTGTGACAATGGAGATCCTCAGTCACGTATTTTTGCGCTTGTTGTAAAAGCTTCGAGGTTGTCTTGAGATTACAAGTTCTCAAGTTGCAGGTTTCTGTTGGATCTCATTAGCTGCAAATCTCAAAATTTGGTATCACCTATGCAGAACTGTTTTATGCACCTTTTACAGTGTTGCATCGTATGTGCGTCGCTTTTGTGCCGAAGTCATCGACTTCTTCTTCGCGTTCATCATCAAGCTTATGCTCGTGTATTATTTGGTAGAGCTTGAAATAGTGTGAGTTTTTTGTAAGCTTGCAAGTGGAAAATTCAGTTATCAGTATATATTGATGTTTCAAATCTTGTCATTTTTGGAATCATTCATTCGTCCATGACAAGCGTGACGCTTCTCAGATTGTGAGCTTTCAATTTATGGTCTAATTTAGAAAATAATTTATAGTATTAGGTTGGCACATATGTTTGCAATCTAGTGCATAACTTTTCTCTTCTTGGATGTATTCTCATTTTTTGACATGACGCAACGTAGTGGTCTACAAATCGGCGCAAACAGTTTTGTTCTTGGTAGCGAAGTGGGAAAACTGCGTATTTCTCAAAAGCTGGTCAAGAATTTCTACCGGGCTAAAACAAAATTCAAGTTTGTTTTCAGCCTGCATCAAACGCACCGAGCCGAAGCCGTACTTATATTGTTGGAGTGTATGTGCAGCCATTTGTGTACAGCTTCCTCTTGATAAATCCGATAGGCTGAAGATGACTTCATTTTTGTTTTTGGCACATTGAAATTTTTGATTTGACCAGTTTTCGGAAAATGAGCAAAATTTCGACAAAAGAAGCAAAACGGTTTGAGCAGATTCGTAAGTCATCATCTGGTCTACATTATGTCAAAAAATGAGAGCGCTATATCCAAAAACAGAAAAGTCATGGAACACTTGCGAAGCTTATGTGCCTACCTATTACTTTTTCGAAAGATGGAATGGTCATAGCGCTAACAACTATCACAAATAACGTTCATAGCTCCAACATCTTTTGCGTCTTCAGTTTTTGAATTCTAACTTTGAGTAGCTGACCATTTTCTCTCATATAGATGCAGTCCTATTGCTCTGAGTACTTCTACTGTCTCATCAACCCACATTTTTTTCTCACCAATGGTTGGATGTTTTTTCAGTGATTTGAGTCGTTTTGACAAGCTATTCGGCAATGAAGCTGACCTTCAAACCCTCGTGGATGTAACTCAAGAACTTTTCCCGCTGGAACTGCTAGGAAAGCTGATGTGCAGTTTTTTGGAGGTTCGTTGAAGTACACTACTTGCGCATCCGTTGAACTTTGTGCTCTTTCTCGTTTTTCTCGGAGCAGCATAAAGGCTAGGCTGTTGTATAGCTCCTTCAAATTGCTTTATTCATGGTGTTGACCCCATTGGGATATTTTCATTTCAGGCCTTATGCTTGTCACAGTCTCTGTTCTCTCGTTTTTCTGGGCAGACTCCTGGAAAATATGTGATGGGAGTCCGTGTGATCGATTGTGGAAACGTGTTGCATGTTGCTGGATCGCCGCCGAATGTTGTTCGAGTTACCGGATCGGTCTTGATTTCTTTCAGAGCGTAAGTTCTTTCGATGAAAGGTACAGCTTGTGTCTTGGGCACATTCAAGTGCATTCCCGTAAGGATGGTAGCTTTAGTACGTCGCCGAAAGAAGGAGTTTGCAGGCACAGTTCCTCAATCGTCCTTCCTTTTTATATCCTTTCTGACAATTTTTTTCATTTTATATTCATTTGTATTCATTTTGTTTCGATACTTTGTTTTGTCCATAGTTTGCACGAAGTTGCTATTATATTACCCACATACCATTCATAGACTATTTACCAAGAACTATATCCACTCATTTCATGTTTTGAACTAGATACAACATTCAGATTAGAAAACAAGAGAAAAGGCCTCCTACGTCTTACGCCATTTTTGATTAGGGTGATTGTCACGAATTTCGAGGGCGTTCTCACACCTCTTTCCTCACCTATTACTTTTTTGGGGGAACAGCTTCTTCCTAGCGGGAATGTGCGTGTATACAACCCTGGCGTTTGATTCCAGAACGTTGTACTTTGTTCACGGAAACTTCCATAACGATTCCTGTTATCACTATGATGTCAAATTTGCAGGGCGGTCATGCGTTCGCTTCTGAAGAACATCCTCATCAACTCTTTGGTTCCATTCAGCACAGTTGCATTTGCATTCAATTTTAATCGCGCCATCTACGATATTGTGGCGAAAACCATTGTCGTTCTGGATTAGCTAGTCGGCGTTAGAGATTCTATCATGCTGTTTTTTTTTTGCATTTCTTGAATACGGAAGTGCCATACTTGGATTATTGTGAAGGCTGCCGATGTTTGTTGCTCCTTCTAGAATGATATCGAGCAGCCCCGCTAGACCTTTACCTATTTCCCAAGCTTCATAGATTTTGTTTTTAAGATGTATATCTTGTTGTAGCTTCCACTTCGTCAGCAGTGGTTGAAGCTATAGTCGTCCTCCCCCCACTAGACACCCAGTGGATGGATTCGAATTTGAACTAGAGCACGCCGATTGCGGCAGAGCGCGGCATTGACAACTCCAGTTCAACCTCATCCAATATTCTTTGGTGTTTCTTCGTCGTTGCATGGTGATTTTTTGTTTCAATGATGTTTGTAATCAAAATCGACGAAATTGTTGCTGCTTAGCGATGGTTCGTGCTACTATGCTCGCTTCTTCGGTTTTTATTTCAGCTAAATTTGAAATCAGAATTCAAATAACGAGCATAGTAGCAGGAAACATCACTCAAGACTAACAAAGTCTACAATCCAGTTAAGAAGACTGCTAACATTCAAAAAATAGGATGAAACGTTCCGAAAACACAAAAACTTCTGTTTGAGATCAAAGTGAGGGCTGCAGGTACCGCGCTCTGCCGCATACGGCGTGCTCTACTTCAAATTCGAATTCGTCCACTAGGTGTCTAGTGGGGGGAGGACGACTATACTAATCAGCACTGTTCGGCCCTTTTTGATCTTTTCTATTAGCTTGCGCTTTTTGTTTTTCGAAAGGTTGAACTTTCGTGCAGATTAGACTTTTTTCTGATGATATCGAATTTGCACAATGGGTCAATGAGATTATCGTCCTACTTTCTGTGATAGGATCTGTTTTTTATTGAGGCGGAAACGTCAAATACGTGTATCATTCACGTGCTTTGGTGATTTGCTATTTTTATCTTGTCGTGTAATGCAGTTTTATCAGCTACTTAGATTCGTTTACATCTACAAGATGTGATTATTCTGTTGTAAGATTTGTCTTTTGGGGAAGGTTTGTTCTTATCTTTACTCTCGTCAACAAATGCATAATAAATTATTCAAATTTTTAGACGTCACGGTTTGCTTGAACAAAGGCTGGGTTGAGGTTTTACAAAAAAGAGAATAGGAAACTTAACATCTGGTTTCGTCAAACTCTGAATTTTGCGAATCTCAGACGAAGCGAAAATCAATAAATTTCGCATCAAATTTCATTTTGTGGGAGAAAATAGTGAACCGGCCACGCATCCAGAATGCTAGAACAGTAATCCCAATTTTCGATGAGTGCCCAATGACGCACCTCTATCAGAATGAAAGTTTTGTCGCTCTCCTCTCCCCCCCCCCTCCTCTCCCTAAAGGCGGAGTTCCTGGGATCGCCACTGATGAGTGTGCATACGCATACTATGCGCAACAACCGACGACAACCTTACTGGTAATTCCTCAGTAACCTTTTTTAATGTAGCAATATGGGAAAATCTCTAATAAGTAATACATATCCAATCAAATGAAATTAGACATGGAAAGAAAGAGAAATCATTAGAATTCAGCAGGCTATAATCTTACAAGTCGTCAAGTGGCGCGCCTTGTGTGCACTACGCATATTAAGTCACAAATTCGACAATATGTGTTTCCGCTGTGAACTTCGCGCATGTCACTTTGAAATAAAATATTCTAAGTCCACGCAAATTCCCGCTGGGAAGATAGAAAAATGTTGAAACTGCCCTGCCCCCTTGTATCTGCGGAGGTGATGATTTGGTGTGTCCGGACATTGTTTAGTTATCTCATATAATTGAAACCTTTCTTTCAACTGGCTTGGCGGCTGGAAGGCGGGGCTTTGTGACCTGATTAAGGCAGCTTGCGCCGTCACGCTGTCTGCGCCTCTCCCGCGCGCGTGCTCTATGATCACTACCTAGCCTTAATTAGGTCACGAAGCCTTCCAGCCGCCAAGCCAGTTGAATCAAAGAGTATGTGCCATTGCACACACAGCACATTTTGTCGTCCCATCCTGGATTTCGGTAGCAAAAAAGCAAGAGAACAACCGATTCTATAACCAACAAGCTAACAACACTTTGAGGAAATTCGTACTTAAGAAGGAAAAAGTACCTAAGAGGAATTCTGAAAACATTCACTTATTGCGAGAAGGTGTTCGCTTATGAAGACCAGAACGGCAAAAACAAACTTTTTGTGCATTAACACTATGATCATATGAAATGAGCGTACGCTCCTTATAACGTTTGCGGAGGTGGGGAGGGAGGCGGAAGTGGGGCAAAGACCATTTTGTCGTCACGAATTTATGAAGGGTTTGTATTGGTTTAATTTTTGGCTTCAAGCAATATACCATTCCTTTTAAAGCTGTTTAGATAACAACGTAGAAGAGATGTGGAGGAGTGGTGGTCATTTAGGAAAATGTGCATTTAGAGTGCTGTACACATCTAGTGTTGTGACATACCTTGATGTTATCTGCCTGTTTTTCTGCCTGTAGCCACCTGCGCCGTACTACAAGTCATGTCATACCTCTCTTGTAGATTGTGGTAGAGTCTCGTGTAGTATGGTCTAGATTAACAGGTAAAGACGTGTCGATATGTTAGAGAAACGTTGTTGATGAACTTGTAGGCTATACGCAGTATCACATAGAAGCCTCACACTCTTTTGTTGTTCAGCCTTTCGCCACACCAACCAACAACCATAACACCAAACCGTTTATTGCCACGAGGATGGGACCTCAAACTTGGGTAATCAAACCGTGATTCTCTACTTTGCAAATGAAAACATGATGCGATGATCTGATCATAATCAGGGTCAATTTTTAGAGACTCGCATAGCACTAAATTGGAGCTTTGAGTTGGTGACAGCCGGAGAAATCGCGCCTCTTGACCGTCTCCCGCCACACCTGGGGGGTCGTATTGAGGAGTCAAAAGGGGAGGGGGTCGTATGGGTAATCTGATTAGTATCTGATAACATGATATTCGTATCATATCCATAATGAGCATGTCAATTAACTCCTGTAGACAAAGTTGAGCGATTTCTGAAGATTCAAGATATTAGGCTACCTAAGTGAAATGGTCATATTCCAACATGATTAACTTTGTTTCAAAGGTGATTTAGCTATCCGTTTTTGCACTCAAGACAAAGCACTACTCCTTATTTGTCCATCTCAGATCCCGCTTCAAAAGACCTCCAAACTGTGAAATTAGGGGTCATCCAAAAGCACGTTTTTCCCATGTTCGCTTTTAATGGCTGCGCTTTCACCAAATATTACTCAGAGCTAAGAAGACGAATCAGGCTCAAATCAATCCCGTGAAAACTAGGAGATTTAGGCTATCGATTCATATAAATACGGTTTGCTAAAAATGCTGCTAAAAATGGGAAAAACGTGCTTTTGGATGACATCTAATCTCACAGTTTGGAGGTCTTTTAAAGCGGGATCTGAGATGGACAAATAAGGAGTAGTGCTTTGTCTTGAGTGCAAAAACAGATAGCTAATTCACTTTAAAACAAAGTTTATCATGTTGGAAGATGACCATTTCACTTAGGTAGCCTAGTATCTTGAATCTTCAGAATTCGCTCAAACTTTGTCTACAGGGGTTAATTGACATGCTCATTATGGATATGTTGCCCATTATATTTGACACGGCCTTCAGGTAATGCTATCTTAGGCATGTAAGGGGGGGGGGGGTCTTATTAAGACAGCAATCGGGGGGGGGGGGGGGGGTCGTAACCAGCGATCGTGTGCCACACCCCTTTCTTCCCAACTTGCTCACCTTTGCTTCATCCTGATCATAATCTGATGTCCAGGCGATTTACCGAGCCGCTAAAATGCTACAAAAGCAGAATCGAATGATCAAAAACGCGTATAATGATTGCGGGCTCATGAATGAACAAAATGACCAAAGGTGAGCAAGTTGGGAAGAAAGGATTTCCATCGTGGCGACGAAGAATCTTTGCTGCGTGACGGTTGCATTTTATACTTGTTTTTGATAGTCGTCGGCGCTCGTTGCAAAGGTCAGCTTACAAAATAGGAAGAGACATGGGTTACTGTAATAATCGAGAGATCGCGCTTCCAAGCAGCGATAACTCAAAGTTCTTGTCAGTGATAGTCGGTGTGTAGGTTTCACTAGTAATACAGGGTGTCCCAAAAAAATGTATCGAACGTTTGATCGTTAATATTTCTCTTCCCAAGAAGTCTTTTGCCTTGTTTCAGGAACCGTTTTGTAGAGCTGGCTTCAACTTAGATTTGCATTATAAAACGAATCACCCATCTGTCTTCATTACTGTAGGATGACGGTAGAAACTTGAAACATATGGTGTCAATGTGGAAAAGCTGCCGTTTCAAAATTTTTCAAAAAAAAATGTGAAAACTTGTATAATAGGGTTTTTATGGACGCTTAGTTTAATACTCAACTATTCACGACATTAGAAGCTTCTAAACGGTGTAACCTCACTTTTTAGGAACATTGAAAAAATGACCGCTACCTCTTACCTGGCATAACTCTTCAATGAAGCATCATAAAAAGTTGGAAACTTTACAGTTGTAATCAACAACTCTAATTAGCCTAGTGTAAAAGTATTGAGGCTATTGTGTTTCCTTTCTGAGGCAAAATATGGCCTTTCATTGCTTAAAACCCTCTTTGAAGTTTCTACCGTAATCCTACAGTAATGAAGAGAGATGAGTGATTCGTTCTATAATGCGAATCTAAGTTGAAGCCAGCTCTACAGATTGGTATCTGAAGCAAGGGAAAAGACTTCTTTAGAAGAGAGATATCAACGATCAAACGTTCGATACATTTTTTTTTGGGACACCCTGTATACTCATCCCAGTTCACTTACATCGCACTGTTTTTGGCATCAAACGCGAGGGAGCACACATTCTCTGAACTAGATGAATCAACATCCCTCCTGACTAGGATACTCTAGCACGCTGTTTAAACTCTAAGGTTCCGTTCAGAGTGCCGGAGATGTGCCGGTACTGAAGCAGCGCAAGGACAGCGTTGTACTATTTCGGCAGTTGTCTCAGCTAATCCCGAACATTACACGGTCATTTTGTGGGGAAGGGACAGATAGCGGACCTCGTTCTCAGCCAGGTATCTATTTATTTATCTATTACATATACATGGTGTTCCAGTAATGAAAACAACAAAAATAACGTATGTGGACCGTCTAGACAGAATACAATAATCGTCCTCCTAGTTCTTCAGGTCGTTTCCCTCCTTCGGACGATGAGAGTACCTTTGCCGAGTTCCTGTTCCCATGCCCGAATGCAACATCATGACGTCACAATCACCAAGGCTTGGCTGACCAAGTTGTCCCCGAGCGGACGAATCCGTCAGGGATCCTGAGCGACCGGGGTGGAGGATCTCAAGGTAAAGGGCTCATCAATCATCGATATCCTCGAACGGTTACCATATGAAGAAGCAATTCAAATTCTGCAGGATAAGGATGCAACGAGGTACTAAAAAGAAAGGAGATTTTTGGTGCTATTGCTATTTATTGAACAAAATATGCAGAAATTTCGAAAAACGTTAGTAAACAGCCAAAAATTGTTGAGTCACTTCTCAAAAAATCACCACCAAATCAAGATCACAATAACCAGCATCAGCTATGCCATCATCCAAGAGCAAAATGGTCTGATCGTGACCGAAAGTTGCGAAGAATTCTCGCAACACAGCCATGCTCGAACGCCGATTGGCGCACTTGCGAATGATTACGGTAGTGGGCGGGAATTTGAAGCCAATTTTTTTATCACGTTACAGTTGAGCCTTCGGGTAGTGGCTTAGTCACGGCTGAAACAGTTCTCTCTGGCCGCATCCACTGGCTCAAAAACAAGGAAAAGTGGTAAAAGTGGCAATACTCCGCCCCACTGGCAATAGAATCCTCTTACGTGCGCAGATACACATAAAAGCTGCTGCATGACGAAGGCCCAATACCCTTGGGCGCTCGCGGCTTTATTAGCCGCAGAGCGCATGAGGCGCAAGATTTACGACGGTGAGGATACGCGCGCGCCGCGTTCGCGCCCGCTCGACTAGTACTGCTTTTGCGCCTTCGTCATGCAGCAGCCTTTACACCGATACACATTAACGTGCCTTTACTCTTGCTTAGACTTCAAACCTGAAGGTTGACGACTTTTGCTCGAAATGTCCGCAAATTTTTGACTCAAAGTGTTTGCCTGGATACTGAATTTGAAGTGCATAATTTGGTATATAACGGACTCGCACTTTGCGCTCCATTGAAAAGAATTCTCCAAAAACTCAGAGAATCGTTACGCTCATCGACCAGTAATTGAAGGAATTTCATCAAGATCAAAACACCAAATTCTTGGCAATCATAGCGTTTTAAGAATGCGGTTGACTGGCATCTTTGGTGTACGTTTAATGCGCACACTGCCGTCGCCATTGTCATATGAAGGTCATTCGGGGTGCGTTCCATGAAGAGAGAAAAAGTGTAGCAGTGCTCAAGAATTTACATTGCATTGAACACGGCACCCGTTATGGACTAGGTGTCGGTCTTGCAGTGTACTGTGTTATTCAGCATTTTTGAAGCGCTTATACACTACTTTTAGCTTTAGGAATGCTCTTTAGCTTTTTGGCTACTTGAACATGACACAGTATGCTTTTTTTCACATTTCTTGACGAGGCATTCCAGACTCATTTTTATGGACCACAGTAGTTCTGGATGTGTAAATTACTCTTGCCATTTCTCAAGTTGTCCCTTTTCCCCCCATTTTCATCTTCATTTAAATAACTCCCTATCTCTTTATCATCAAAAAGACTGGGGTATCTTTCGATAGAGCAAAGCAAGCTCTAGGAAGTGGCCGCCAAACATCTGCACAGAGTTCACTACATTGAATAAAATTTAAAATCTGAAAACTTCCAAAGACCCAAAATTCAAAGTTCAGGACCACTTAAAAATTTTCCAGCGGAGTTCTGAGAAGCTCCAACTTATTCATGCCCATTCATTTCTAATCTAGGATTCACAAACACTTTCAATATTTTTCCCATCGCTAGAAATCGAGAAAACGAAATTTGGTTTTATTTTCCAAAACGATGCTAATCTGCTTCCATATGGGTAATCCTATAGCATAAGCCGTTAAAAGTATAACCACAGATTTTTATCCTTCTGAAAGCGATTTTCGAGGAATCTCAAATTTAGCGAAAAAAAACCCGAAAAAAGCGACGTTTGCGCATTTTCGGGCTGTCGTTTCTCAGTTTCTAGGAAGCAAATGTGCAAAAATATCAGGTGATATGCGTGAGCAAGTTAGTTAGAGTTTACTAGAGATATTTTGAGCAGTCTTTCAGATTTTTTTTCAAGTTTTCGTTTTTGGGAGTTTTCAGATTACGATTTTGGATTTGATGTGGAGCTAACTCCTATGCAAGAGTTCGGAGGCTGTTTTGTAGAGCTTACTTTGCTCTATCAAATGGTATCCTATAGCTTTTCCAGGAATCAAGAAAAATGGGAGTTATTGGGATGAAGAAGGGCGGAACTTACGGGGCAATCCAGTATATTCAACCTCGAAAAAGCAACAGCTGTGACTCCCCAGAAAGCTCTTTTGTTTTGTAAAATACTATGTAGGTATTTAATACTATCTTGATGTTTGATTTAGCGAGCAGAAGCCTCTCTTCACCTCTGATTTTTGCCACTCTAGCTTTATAAAATATGAATAAAATAAAAAGTAAAAATAAATACAGATGCATTTTGTAATTGCTAATTTATCGGCGAAGTGACCTTTTTTAAGTTTTGAAGTCATTTTAAAATGATGTTAGATGATCGTTGTGGAATATGCAACTATTGAAATAGCCTCTTTTCGTAAGATGAACTTCATTGTTGACTTCGAAAATTTCGAGCATTTTTCGAAGCTTTTGTTTGAAATTTCCAGTTTTGTCGATAAGTTTTTCTTACTGCCTGTCGAAGACTTTTCAAACATTGATTCTCAACTTTTGCATTTGATTCTATGTTTGGTTAGTCACGGCGTACTCTCGGAAAACTTAATTTTCATGCGCTAGAGACACCTCAGGGCTAGCTTTCAGGGAACAAACGGAACGTTTTGGGATTGTGTTTAGTAGTTTATGGGGCGGAGATCATTTCAGTGTTTCATTGAATAGTTATATGATATTATGGCTTTTATCATGCTATGTGTATATATGAAAGCAAAAAATCTTTTTTTTTTGCAAAAAAAACAATTTCTAAATGATAAGTCAAAATGAAAATAAACGCCTTTAAGTTCCTTTTTAGCTCTGACGATGGCAACACAACCGAAACGCGCATTCCAATTATAGTTTTTACGAATTTTGATTTGCTAAGAATTTATGTATCGAAAAATGCTAAAATTGAAAATCAGTCACATTCGGCGGAAATAGGTAGGCCTCGCTGAATACTTTTACAAAAAGTGTCTTAATCACATTTTTTGCGATCTGCCCAATTTCTAATCGTATATTTAGTGCACAAAATCATGTTGAAGTCAACAGTCCTAGTTGAACGCATGTTCAAGCGTCATTCGACTTCCTCGTTTTTCTATCTTCGCTAACAATTTTGACAGATAATATTCGCGGAACTTTGGCATGTCCGTCTAGGAGAGTTTCAAGCTACTGTCGGCATATGTATAGATGTGTCTTCGAGTGTTCATTTGGAATCTGTTTTCCTTCTCTGCGCAAGTTTGTTTTTAAATTACTACACTTTTCCAAGGATAGCCGTTGATGTGGATCGAACTTACCGACACGCGAGTATCCTTTGCTTTATGTCAACCAGTTTCGAAAGGCTTCAGTAATGTTGATCAGTATGAAACAGGCAACTCATCGAATGCAGATGACTTTCATTGCTTTTGGCAGTCTAGTAATTCAAAATGATTTCCGAATGATTTTTGTTTACGCTATCACCATGTATTAATCCACAAAGACGTGGTAGGGCGATAACGTCCTTCTTTCGAAAATCTGCGCTTCCATCAAAAAATTTCTGGCGAATTTTTACAAGGGAAGAATACCACAGCGGACTTTAAGTATGAAATTTATATTATCTTAGAGCATAAGTGTTGATTTCGCATCATTATTATCTATATCTGACAAGCGACTCGGGGAAGAACTGCAAGAATTTTAGTTCGAAGACGCGGTCGCAATTATCCAAAACTGTACTCCTTGAGCTCAAATGGGGGGCTGTGGTGATATCAGAACATTTTATGCCTAAAAGCTAGTTTCACATACTTATGCTCAACTTTCCAAAAGCTAAAAAAGATCTCAACGATCGTCTTTTACCCTGGCCGCACCTTTAGATTTTTTCAGAAACTCTCGTAGATTCCCTTTCAGAGGCGCTTAGCAGATAATATATTAGGTTGAACCGAAAGTTCGTTCGCACCATTTTCAAAAAATCATAACTTCTTTCCGTCACGACGATTTTGCGCAATTTCAGTTTTATTAGAAAACGAAAAGCATGTAGTTTCCAATAGTCCCCTGGCGACTTTCCAGCATGTTCAGATTGCAGAGATAAAAATGAAAGAACGAAAACATCCGAAATTCGGAATTTTTGAGAAACAATTCCAAAAATCTAGAAACTGCGCGATAAAATCCAGAAAAGCCATTATCCTAATTTTTCTTATATTTGATTACTAACTGAGTTAAGTTTGTGCTAATCGAGTTCTTCTTTTAAAAGTTATGATTTTTTGAAAAAAAATGCCGAAAAATCAATTTCTTAGGAATTCATAGGAAAGTGATTTTTCGGAATTTTTTTCAAAAAATCATAACTTTTGAAAGAAGAGCTCGATCAGCACAAACTTAACTCAGTTAGTAATCAAATATAAGAAAAATTAGGATAATGGTTTTTCTGGATTATATCGCGCAGTTTCTAGATTTTTGGAATTGTTTCTCAAAAATTCCGAATTTCGGATATTTTCGTTCTTTCATTTTTATCTCTGCAATCTGAACATGCTGGAAAGTAGCCAGGGGACTTTTGGAAACTACATGCTTTTCGATTTCTAATAAAACTTAAATTGCGTAAAATTGTTGTGACGGAAAGAAGTTATGATTTCTTGAAAATGGTGCGAACGAACTTTCGGTTCAACCTAATAGATTTGATATTGCATTTTACATGGGAAATTCACTTTGGGCAGGTATCTTTCCCTTGTTAAAATATTTCAGAAAACTATTTCTGCACAATTCATTAATTGGTTTGATTATATGAAGTTCAGAACAAGGCGCGGGAGAAGAGAATTTTTAAGTGAGTTTTCATGCTCGCATTTCTGCGATCATCATTAAGCTGAGATATAAACCTAAAAAAATTTTTTTTTGCAGAATTGCGCTTCGTCGCGACTGTTTTATCACAAATGGTACAATCTTTGATTAAGCTTCTCAAAGTAGATTTCATGTCTATCAACAGCTAT